TAGGTGTGTCCCAAGTTCGTGTTGTAAAGAAGAAGAAGACGCGAGCTCTAGAACGGCAGAGATCACGGCTTCTTCTTCTTGTTTACAATGCCCCATCTCTCCCCCTCCCAAACGGAGACTACTGAAAACTAGGAATCTAGGCGACCGAAGAGGAACGCCGGCGCAGTAGCAAATTGGAAATAAAATACCCGGTGTTTTTCCCTCTCTTGCATCACTTGCGTAACGTACGCGCAAGATTATTCATTAATCATAGGCATAGCAGTAACAGGCTCGAGAACTGAGAGGGAGAGAGAGATACGCTTTAGTTTGAAAATATAATTCCAAAATTTTCAGCAACAAACGTCCTCCATTCGCGAGGACTAAAATAAGCGCGTAAACTCACAACACCGGAAAGTCAAAAGAAATTCCTAATCGTCAGGGACTGTAATTGTCTGCAGCGCAGATAAATGTCCTTGAAAAATTCGTCAAACATAGGCTAAAGTGGACTGTGTCGTGCAATTATAACGTCGTTGTAGTTCAAATAAACAAAGAGGGAAAAAAATCAGTTTATCATGGGCGGCTGAATTTGGAAAGACCGCTATACTAAGGATAGTAACTTTGGTCCGGCAGAAATATGCCTAAGAAGAAGATTCGATCGCTGGAACAACACTTTTATTCACCTGACGTTTTGACATCCGTCGCGGATTCTTTATCAGAGACATGTGCAGAACCCAGTAGAACGCGTTTCTGCTACTGCTTCCAGAAATATGTCTCTCGCTTCACATAGTTGAAAAAGTAAGTCGAGAAAGAGGAAAGCGGACTTAAGTCCAATTTCGAACGTCAGAATGCTAGCTTTATCGTCCAGTTAAACCGGTCAGGCTTCACACACCACCATGTAGCAGTCAAAATTGGAATCTAGTTATCTTTCCCTGGTGTGGCCAGTCGGTAGAAGCCAGTAATTAAATATGCTATTTTCATATGAAACAAGTTGGTGGTACGAGAAATGGCAACTGCGAATTGCTTAGGTTAACAACTACTTTTTAACGAAATTCAGGTTTTCATTTGAGCTGCTTCTCATCCCAATGCATTTGCCGCTTCTTCCTAGTGG